CAGAGGGTCTACACCCATTATTTAGAATTCTGCGTAGGAGATTTGTCTGTTCTCTACCATTTATTTATTTATTCAATCATTTATTTATTATTATTTATATCTGTATGGACTCATGGATTTTTATTTTATACTTTTTGGCCATGGGAGCTCTTTCAGTTGGTTCCTGTTCGCTTTGACATAGTCTCATTATTTATTTATTTTTTTAGCATACTTTCTGTTAATTATAAGATACCTGCTCTTTTTGTTTTATTTTAATCTTTTCTTATCTCACTTTAGATGAGGATAACAGCATTTGTTTCCATGAAGGAAGGTTTCTTAACCCGTGGACCACAGGTCCGGGAACCCTCAGTGTTGCAAACTTGGTGTGCGTTTTTTCAGGGAAGAACATAGCTTTTATCAGATTCTCAGTGGTGTCTGTAACTTAAAAAAGAGGTAAAGAATCACTGCCCTGGACTAAAGAGGAGAAATAATACATCCTACACATTTTACATCCATTGCTCTTTCCTTGCTGCCTTGTGCTTTCTTCAGTTCATGTCCAGCTGAAGGCTTGGCAGCTCTCACACCGAGATTACTCATGCTGGTATATGCCACTCAGGTCTAAGAAGACCTTTGACCATTGTTGTTGCGTTTACAACTTTATGGAAATATAAAACAATCCGTTTGGACTCAGATTTCTGGTGTGAGGGAGAAGATTAAGACAATATGCTCATACACACCAGTTTTGAAATGGAACTGTGCAGTGTGGTCACTAAAGGGTCATGTAAAAATAAGAACGTTCTACAGTTAATGGAAAACTGAGCATCCCCCTTTGGAAAGAAATTTCTGAATTTTTTCTTTAGTGTTGGAAAACATTACATCATCTAGCTATACAGCCTGATACATTCCTTGCATAACTTTACATATTAGTAATGACATCAGTTGAAGTTTAGGCAAGGGAACAAAAGAAGACTGGTTGTAAAAAGGCTTTTGATATAAAACATTATTTTCTCTAGTCATTTGATCACTTTGCCTGAGTAGAGTAAGTTATTTTCTTAAATTAATATCATATTTCCATGAAATAAATCTTGTTTTGTAATACTATCAGAATTGTTGATAGATTTCTTGAAATAAAACAAAATGGCATAGTCAAATGGACAAAACATTGGAATGAGATTCAGAATATGAAAACTCTAATAATGAAATAGGCATGAAGTGTGTAACTTAATTAAAATCATTTAACTCTTCTTATTTCTGCATATTTTCTATAAATAATACTAGTCACTTTCCAAATTGTAAGGTTATATATAGTAAAGTGCAGACATAGGAAAATAAGCACATACAAATTGTTTCAACTCTTTCAAAGAAAGTGGCATAGCTATCTAGACTCTTAAAATATATTTTAATGTGTAGAAATGACTTCAATGTTATTTTACTATTGACTGAGCTAACAAAATGATTTCTATATTTTTTTTAGGTAGGAAAAAAAATCCCTGAATTTATGCATGTGGATATAAACCACATGAGATTTCACTTAAATTTAAAAATGTCTTTGAATTCCTAATATAAGGAAAGTGAAGTGTTGATTAAAAATTCATATCAGGTTACCTACAGCAGGGACATGAAAATATATATTGACACAAATAATAAAAGAAAAGGGGCTATAACATATTTGATATATTCCTCTTTTTATTTCAAGAGATTTTAGTCAACTTACATTGAGTTTTTTTCGTTGTTAACAAATAAGAGTTTTTTTTTTAACTATGGAGAGAAACACAGGCATTTGGAGATGGCCAGAAGAAAGAGTGACATGGAGAAGTTGTAGAAAGGGCAAATTCAGATTTTCCAGGACTAATGAATTTAAAAGACGAATAGAACCTAAGATGTAATGTTTTGTATATATATGATATATATATATATATATCCTAAAGCAATATATGAATGGATAAGAAGATAGGTAATATTTTGCTTCCATTATGGCAGGCAATAACTAGGAATTGGGATTCCTAGGTTTCATTCTTCACTTTCCCGCCTTTCTGTCTCCTAGGAAAATCTCTTAAGCTTGCTGTGTCTTAGTTTCTGCCTCTACCATGTACTCTGTTGCTCCATTTACTCACCAACTGCTCACTCTTCTACCGGTCTAGTTTTTCTCTGTCTCTCCACTGAAAAACTGCTCTCTGTGTGATTAAGTTCTCTCCTATTTAACCAAGTGAGTTTGATTATCAAATGAAAGAATGTAATGGACATGGTGGTTGATTTTCCAACATCCATTCCATACCAGGTCTGAGCCAATCATAATTGTTTCTTCCTGCTTGCCAGTGATTGGTTCGGCAGTAACCAATGCTGGGAAGCTTCTGAGGAAAAAACAAGTCCTTTCTCCTAAGAGGACTCCTCAGGAAGAAATGCTCTTCTTCCTCTGGAAATGATGTGTGGAACTGCTACTTCTATAGCGCACGCAGTCACCCTGAGGTTGAAGTCAACTTAGAAGAGCTGGCACAGGGAAAGTGCTTGAGGCAATGTGTGTTTACTACTCTACAAGCAGTGTAGGGAATTATAGAAATACAGAAGCCATGATTCCCTCAAGAATTGCACTGTCTGCATTCAATCTAGTTGATAATACACACATAGGTATGAAAAAAATCTACAAAATAATTGCCAAACTGTAGATTTATCTGTGTTCATTAGAATAAGCTGGGATGATTGAGGCAAGATTGTAGAAAGCCAATCTTAAAGGACAGGTTGGGATTAGATTAGTCCAATGAGGAGTGGAAATTATAATATTTCAAGAAGGGTGACTGGTTCTGAACCAGTGAAAGGAGGAAGGACAAAATTTGGTAGTGAGTTAGAAAGGCTAGAAAATGAGTTTGATTGACAGAGCTTACAGATGTAAGTGAATAGGCAAAAGAGTGGTGAGATTTAAGAGCTTATATACCATCTTAATAGGGGAAAGGTAGGAGGGATGTAGGTCTTTTAAGGGACAGTAGATGATTTTTAGGAAAAATGAGTGGGCCTTTAGAAGAATAGATGGGAGGTATAATAGTTTGTGACAAAGTGTCTGGGTATGGTGTTCACTTCCAGTGTCCTCTCCTGTGATGAGGGTCAATCTTCCCTAGTTGATGAAACTCCCCGGGAGGGGATTTATGACAACCAAATTCCTTCTGGAGGATCAGTCTTTAGGCAGATGAGAAGAGTTCAGAGAAAGCCTCTCCCTGTGTTTGCTGTTTTTCAAGTGCCTTTAGCTCAAAATAATCCTTATGCCAAAGAGGCATATTGTAGGGTGACATATTCTTCCACCCTTCACAGTTGGAAGAAAAAAATCAGGCTGGAAAGTTCTCTACTACAAAAATTAGTGTTAACTGTCTTTATGTTGTCTGGTCATTTCATTGCTAGAGGGAATGTACTCATGAAGGGTTTTATATCAAGAGACACAATAATAGCAGTCCTTAATTGATCCAAGTGTATTTTGTAATCAATCAGTTCTATTTTCCTCCTTTGAGTGAGAAAACTTGTAGATGTGTTTGAATACTAATTTGCATTCCAATATCCAATTTTCCCATGTACTCTCATTCTCTTTAGAATTTTCTGTCTTTTGATAAGGGATGAAATTGCCTCTGAGGAGGTTATGATTTCACCTGCAATGAAATGGAAAATCATTCCCCAAGTCCCTGCAGCTGTGACTTGGAGCCGATAAGGCCATGGGAAGCGATTTTAAAAAATCTATATAATCTCCTGTACCTTTGGGAGGTTTTACTAATTGATTTTCATTTTTTCCTTTAATGTTTTGGACTCTGTATGATATCTACTTGAAAACGTTGTCTATCAATTGATAGTAGTTTTAGATTTTTCATAAATTTCTTAATATCTGTCATATTTCGCCCTAGTGGTTATATCTTATCAGCAGATTGTATGATAATTAACTCAGAATAGAATTGCCTGATACGTAAAAGCTGGGATTTCAAAACAGAGCCATGCCCATTACATCTAAGCTTGCTTCATATAAATTCATATCATTTATGAAATCAATACTTTTACCATACCAATACAGAATAGTGGTAGATGCTCCAAGTATAGTTTTAATCTTCCTTGTGATTGTCATGGATTTTTTTTTGTATAGGAAAATGATTATATGATAAGACTTTGTGGGTGGTAAAACAAACCCAAACAAACAGCAAACAACAAAACACTTTCCATTGGCTTCCAAGGAAGTGGGTTTTTTTTTTAAGTGCTTTCAGGCAACTACCAATTTAGTCACGATTCATTGTTCAAAGTTAATTAAAATAGAAAATTACAGCAGTTTTTCCTCTTTTTTGATGGTTGACAGCAAATATGTATATTTGTCTATATATATATGCTATAGAAGCAAGAGGTAGTTGATCTCATAGCTCTAGAGAGTATTTTCCTTGTTTAATTGACCTGATAATAGAGAAACTTGTTTCACCAATTCCCCTCCTGGGCTAACATTTAACTCAATGAGGAGAACATTTATTGTATATTTCTTGGGCAATATTTTATAAATGTTGGTGTGATTGTTTCATGAATTCTTAGACTATCTCTCTGGCGTATTCTTCTTATAGTATTCACATACTCCTTTGCTTAGGCAGAAAGTTAATATTATAGATTATTCAAAACTTGTTTTTTGCTGCTTTTATTTTTGCTGTTGTCTCATTGTCTCCACTCCTTTTGTGCTTGTCTAGATTTTGGTTTCAGGTTGCTTCAGGACAAGTAAGATGTCTGCTTAATTTTATTTAGAAGAAAGTAACATGGGGTATTTAGGACAGTGTTCATGCATTTGGTAAAATTAAGTGCTAAAATACTTTTTTTGTTTGTTTTTATATTTTATGACAAATATCTTTTGGCTTCTGACAATGTCTACTACTTTTCATTTACGTCTGTTTGGAAAAGCCATGCCATACTTGTGGATTTGTCTCAAAAACAAAGTCTTTTCTCCAATGAAAACCACCCATTCCTGTTGCTTGCTATTTTTAAATACTTATCAGGGTTTTGTTTTGTTTTTTCTCTTATAGCCAGCAGTCAGCAGAGGACCTTGCCCGAGTACCTGCCAACTCCACTAGCAATATCTTGAATAGGCTATTGGTCAGTTATGATCCCAGGATAAGACCAAATTTTAAAGGTTTGTTTTTTTTCCCCCCAAAATACCTTCATTCTTTGCAATTTAAAAGTTAATTTTGTCTGTATACAATTACTTATTTGTGATATTTAAAACAGTAATGTTTCAAATTGACATGTAACTGTCTTGTAATGTGCTTAGGTCAGAGCAATTTAATGCCAAAAAACATTCAAATATAAGCAAAATATTAGTTCTAATAGTTTTATATGGTTCCCAGGTTTTGTTTTTTTTTTTAAGTTATATTGTTAATTAATAGCCTAAACTCTGTAATGAGTGTTCTCAGTACTTAGTATTTTTAATCCTACTAATTTCAAATTTAGGCTCTGGATATAGATCTGGCTTTCATTCCAGACACCACAGTCATAATTTGTAGGAGAATGTCCATATACACGTTTAAGGATAGGTACCGTTTATCACACCTTTTAAGAACCAAAACCGTACTTGCAATAAAAGTTATAAGAGGATTATATAGTTGTGCAAACTTTCTTTTTGTTTCTTTTTCTTTCTCTCTCTCTTTTTTTTGTCCTCTTGGTGAGTTAGGAAAAGCTTTATGAAAAAAATCTTCTCTTGAAAACCCTAATCCTTGTTGCTGGTTAAGGGCAAGTATTAATGTAGATCAGATTAACATTGTAAGGCTCGATTTTTTTTTTTTTCCCCTTTACAGAAGAAAAAAATTCTGCAGCTGCTTCTAGTCAACTGAAGTTATACAACCATGTTGTAAAAACAGGGGTTTTGTTCATTACCAGAACCTATTCAGTTACTTTCAACAACAGCCCTGGTCTGAGTTGTCACATGTCTACCATATATTGATTCACCACCTGTTTTTCATCAGTCAATGGTTATGTGGCTAAAAGGCTAAATTCACATTTTTCCTTTGTTAGCCCAACCAGCAGCCCACAATGAGTAAAAAAAAAAAGAAAGAAAGAAAGAAAGAAGTTTGCAACATTATACCTTAGTTCTCACTCCATGAACTTTCAAATTATTTTCCAACAGGTCAGGCAAAAATCTTTATAATGACTCTGTTATATGTCTGATTAACTTTGCATTTTCATGAATTAAAAATAAAAATAAAGTAATTGTAAGTAAAATTTATTGAGTGCTGCTTTACCAATTAAAGTAAGAATTTGAAATGATTATAAAAATGGAAAAAATTAGACCATATTTTTTAAATGATGTTTTTTAAGGAATAATTTACATTTTCTTAAAGTAAATGCATCAGCCCAATTTAAAATTTTTTAAAGGGTGAATGTATTTTCCCAGAATCTTTACAATTTAAGAGAGAAATATTTCTGAATAAATAACATAAAATACAACTCATTTTTGATTTGTGTTATGATTCCTATTTAGAAAAGAAGTTAATAGCAACAATGAATGTGGTATGCTGAGACCATGGATTTATAACTTTATGTCCCGTGTGGACTGGAAAATAATATAAAAATCAAATGCATAAACCATAAAAATATGAAAATTCTGACCAAGTGTTTTACAGCTACTAAATATATCTTTAATTTTTATTCATAGGCATTCCTGTTGATGTAGTAGTCAACATTTTTATCAACAGTTTTGGATCCATTCAAGAGACAACGATGGTAAGATTACAATTAATTTAATATTTTTAATTATCAAAATTTTAACTGGAGGATAGTGAAAGTAATATTAAAACTGAAAAATAAGGAGTAACTCTGAGGAAAAATATGTGCTCTCTCCTAGTATAAAATATCCAAATTCCAAGATTTTGTTAAATCAGTGATTTCAGTGCCTATGTAGTTTTGCAATTCAAATTTAGCTTTAATACTGCATTAATACCTACAGACTTGGAAGAATTAATATTTCTTGGATACCACCTGGAAAAAGGATTTATGCAATGACTACTCTAGAGCAACATTTTTTTCCTAATATGCGTATGTGTATAAGCATTCAAAAATATTTGTGTTCACAGAAATATTTTTCTTCCAGTTTCCTGAGGAGAATTTTTGTTTTCTCGGTTGTGCTAATTTTGTGATGTGTGAAGCAGAGAATTTTAAAGAGCAAAGTTGATTTTCATAAAATAGGGCAGCAGAGCTCCCTGAAAAGATGCATAACAAGGGGAAAGGCAAAGGAAGAGTGGGAAGGTGTGACAGGCAGGCTCCTGTTTTGAAAGGAGCAGAAAAGAGAGATTTGAGGAGTGGCTGGTATCCATGATGAACTGGAGTCTAAGATATCTGTAAAGCATGATTGTAGGTTTCCTGAGCGATGTGTGATATAATTACCCTTCAGCTTCTCAAAAGACATTCGATAAAGTCTACTTGCTTTTTGATGTTTTACAATATTAGATTTGTGCCCTTTTTGAAAAACCACAGGCTGAAATATGACACCTATTTTTATATCTAATTGTGATGAGAATGTTATTTATTTTTTATAGAAGTGTGTATTTAGCCCCTGATTAATTGATTTTCCTAGACAATGTGTGGATACTTTTAGAGAATTATTTACAAGAAGATTTTGGAATAAAGTCCAAAATTCACTTCCAGTGACTTTTAGTTCACCTTAGTAACATACACATATAGGATAGATCACTAGAAGACAGCTCAGAAATAAAATATAGACTATCATTTATCACTCACGAGACAAGTGTAGCACTCATTAATTAAAAATATGATTAGTCTGTCTAAGCACTTTGCTTTGCAGGAGTAAGAGATGTCATTTTCTCAAGGTGAAACTTTAAGGGAATCTATTTGGTCTCTACAGTCTTCTCTGTATCCTGTTTTATCTTTCATGGCACCACTACACTAATCCTAAAACACCACTATCAAGATGTTACAGCCTGTTGGAAATATTTCCAACTCTATCTTGCATTTTAGGACAATTAATGCAAGGATATTATTTTCTCATTTGCATAAAGGCTACACATGTGTCATAGCTCAGTAAGTATCCTTAATGTGTCTATTCTTTAATAAATATTGAATGCCTTCCAAACATCAGACACCTAAATTTCTCTCAGGCCCATCAGTAGTTACATGATTGTATCAAGTTGAAAACACCTGAGGGAAAGGATGTTAGAAAAGGGAAAACTTTCTTACAGATTATTTGAGGATTGTCATAAAATATTTCATAAATTTGAACATAATCTCCTATTGTTCTCCTGCACAGACTCCTTGCAGTAGTTAGCCCAAAGTACTTATTGCTAGGACCTTATGCAACCAATTCTCATCACGGAGTCTTTGCCTCTACTATTTATTCCTGATCTTGATCTCTTACCTTCTAATCAGAACATTTTATGGCTAGTCTGACTCACTTGGTACACTCTTTCCAATCCAGGTCTCTCATCGCTGTGATTTGTTTGTTATTTAAATCTGGTAGCTTCTTTACTGTAATTAAACAATTTTTGTGTGTATTCCTTTTATTCTCTAATGGACTATAAACCTCAAAGTCAGGAATAATGTATTCTACTTCTTCATTTTCCATAAAATACGGAAGACAAAAGACACTCAATAAATAGTGGATACATAAGTAAATAATTTCTTATATTAGCTAATATAGATTGAATAAATGAACAAATAAATTCTGTTATTTACCTAGCAAGAAGTGAGTCAGAGTAGCCTAAAACAATTGGAAGAACAAATCTAAACAATAGATCCATGTGTTGAACATTTATTTGGTTAAATAACACACTGAATAATTTTATTATTGTAGAGTGTTAACTTGGGAAATTTTGGAGACCTTTATCCAGAGGAGCCACATTATTTATATTTTCTGTTTCTTTTGCTGAAATAACATGCATGGAAGCCCAATCTGCCTTCCACTTTGTGTTGTGCAGACATAGCCCCAAGGTTCATTATCAGAACTATACTCATCAAATAGACTTAAATATGCTATTTTATCATAATTATTGTTTTTTGCTTTTAGCAATGTTTATTTCCTGCATCCCTATAAAACAGAGTTTTATAGACATGTCTTTTAAGGCTGTCATATTTTATAGATTTGCTCAGGCTTTTCCAAAACAAATTCCCTAATACCTTATTGCTTAATAGTTAGGAAAGGCACAAGCTACTATAGATATATAGATAACATTAAGATGTCTTCTAAGGAAAAAAAGGGATCTAAGACAAAACTTGTTTTTCATTACCTGTTACAAACAGGTCAGAAATAATAGTGATGACTCAGGGGAGTAACTAAAGGAGTATACGTGTATGGATAGGAGCTATATTATGAGAGGATATTTCTTTTATTCTTTTCTTCCAATCATTTGGGGTGGGCTTTATTATTTTTTTTCAGCTATTTCGGAATAATTGACAAGTGAAATTGTAAGATATTTAAAGTATGCGTGATGATTTGGTATATATCTACATTGTGAAAGGATTTTCTCCATCAAGTTAATTAACATATCCATTACCTCACATGTTTAGCTTTTTTTCTTTGGTGAGAACATTTAAATTGTACTCTCTTAGCAAATTTCAATTATACCACACGGAAGTCACCATGTTATACATTAGATCCTCAGACTTTATTCATCTTTTTTTTTTTTAATAGGAAGTTACCCAAGGATTTTAAGCATGTATGTGACACAATTGGGTTTGCTTTTTTATTTTATTTATTTATTTGTTTATTTATGAGGAAGATCAGCCCTGAGCTACATCCATGCTAATCCTCCTCTCTTTGCTGAGGAAGACCAGCTCTGAGCTAACATCTATTGCCACTCCTCCTCCTTTTTTTTTTTCCCCAATGCCCCAGTAGATAGTTGTGTGTCATAGCTGCACATCCTTCTAGTTGCTGTATGTGGGACGCGGCCTCAGCATGGCCGGAGAAGCGGTGCGTTGGTGCGCGCCCAGGATCCGAATGGGGGCCGCCAGTAGCGGAGCGCGCACACTTAACCGCTAAGCCACAGGGCCGGCCCAGACTTTATTCATCTTAAAACTGAAAGTTTGTACCTTTTACCAAGCTCTCCCTATTTCCCACACCCTCAAGTCCTTGACAATCACTTTCCTACTCTCTGTTTCTGTGAATTTGAACTTTTTTTTTTTTAGATTCCACATTTAAGTGATACCGTGAGGTATTTGTCTTTCTCTGTTTGGCTTATTTTACTTGGCTTATTTTACTTAGCATAATGCCCTCCAGGTTCATCCATGTTGTTGCAAATAGAATTTCTTTCTTTTTTAAGGCTGAATAATACTTCATTATATATACCACAATTTCTTGATCCATTCATTTGTTGATGGATCCTTAGGTTGTTTCCATACTTTGGCCATTGTGAATAATGCTGTAATGAACATGGGAATACAGATACCTCTTCCAGGTAATGATTTTGTTCCCTTCGGATATATACCCGGAAGTGGGATTGCTGGATCCTATGGTAGTTCTATTTTTAATTCCTTGAGGAACCTCCATACTGTTTTCCATAGTGGCTCTACCACTTTGCATTCCCACCAGTGGTGTACGATGGTTCCCTTTTCTCTATATCCTCGCCAGCATTTGTTATCTCTTGACTTTTTGATAATAAGCAGAGAGCATATTTCTTAGAAACAAATAAAAGAGCCCTCCAAAACAAGACATTCAGAAAGCAGAAAGGATTAGGTTTGTCTAAATAGCAGATATGTGTTCATGGAAACAATATGGCAGACGGTGTGTGAGTTGTGGTATCAGACAGGCTTGTGCTTGAATCTCTTGTGTACTTCGTGTGTTATACCCTAAGAAGAGTGAAAAAAATTCAAAAATACAGTAGCAGTATTTTGTCTGGCGTAGTAACTCTCTGTGATGGTGACTGCTTGTCATGCAATTGCGAATTAATGTAGTATTTCACAATAGAATCTCATTTCTAAAGAAAATACTAAAGAAAACAAACCACTTATAAGTTTATTAGTAGCCCAGTTGTGCAGTTGTGGTTTTGTTTATTAATCCCTAGAAATGTCTCCTACAAAGATCTGCTGAAATAAAGGAAGTCCTAACATTTGGGAAGTTTCAATATTGCCCAACACTTTCCTCTCCAGTTCAAGCCTTTCTACCTCAACTGGCAGTTGCTTGTTCCAGAAATCATAATGTAGAATGCAGAACTTGGGTGTGGATGTAACATGAATAGCTGCAAGTCAGGTGGCAGACAGATGTAGGGCAACTTCTGAAGGGAGAGGGCAGCCCATTCCTCCGGCGCATAAAGTTGATTACCAAGCAAAGAAGCAATCAAGGTTATAGGCGTTAATATTGTTGTCAGGAAATTTTAACCAATTCAATGTGGAAAACATTCCTTCCTGCTTATTTGTGTTTTAATTCAGATGCTAACTATTGCTAGCTAAACTAAAAGTAATCTCATATTTATTCACAAACCATAATTGTGTAGTGGAGGAAAAATTACAGCCATATTAATATTCCTTAAGCTCTTCCACACCTCCATGGTTATATGCTCCTTCAGCTTGTTTTATGATCTCATTTTATAGCTCTCTAGTTCCTATTTCTCATATCTGTATGTTCATTTGCATTCCATGACCTTACATTTTTCTAAGATATCATTACTAATACTGTAAGTGGTATTTACTGACATTAATATTAGGATCACCAAAATTGTCAAATAAATGTCATCACCCTAATTTGAAGTTGCTGAAACAGTCACTTCTAATTTTAT